GAAACATAGAAAAAAAAAATTGTACCAACCCCAAACTTTTAAACGGTAGTGTAGTATTTTTAGAGCAACTGTTTTGTAATAAGGACACTGACAAAGATCTGTGGCAAGCCCTTGTCTTTGACAAAAATAAATCATATAAGCAAATGAAATGTCGAAAACAGAACTCCATTGATAATACTTTTGAAACTTAATTAAAAAAAATCTTATTCAGTGAGAATAAACTCTTATTCAGTGAGAAAACATTGCTTGAACCCACTTTAATGTGGGTCAATATTGAGAATGCTGCTGACATATGTTGCAAGCACACTAGAATCAACTCTTTTGTGTGATTAGATAAGAAGCAATTGAATCAGTGTGAACAGAGCAAGTTCAAGATTACAGGTAACTAGGGTAACTGAACAATGGGCAGAAAAAAGCTCCAGTCTAAATATGGGCTGACAGATGGCAACTGCTGAGCCCTGCCATAGACCATAAGAGTGATATTCACGTAACTGCTAAAAAAGGCTAATAATATGTCTAACTTAAACATGTTACAGCGGTAAAGACACTAGTTATCAGATCTTTCAGCTCCTCACTCCTTCATTCTCTATCTCACCAAAATTAAACATGGCCAGTGCCAGGCCGGAGAATGTGTGGAAGAGATGAACAACTGTCGCAGACTGATGAAATAAAAAACACCGGTAGACCAGTGCAAAGGGATAACCTACAGGGGAAAAGAAAGGGAAATAGATTAGGCATGTGTGGCAACTGTAAATAAATGCTTCCTTCATGAACGTGTGTCATTTCACATAAACTTGACAAGCTAAATTGTGCTCTTGAGGGCACGACACATTAGAGAAAGCTTTGATGGAGCGTTTGACAGATAGGAATGTGTAAGATCTGTCTCGAGGATACACCAATATTAAAAATTAAGATCTAAAATTAATAATATAGTTATAAAATTATAAAGTTATGGCCAATAACCGACCAATATGGCTGACATTAAAATTCTATACTAATTGGTCTACAAAACAAATTACAAAAAAACAAACACTATAGGTTTAATACTGCAAGTGAATTTTAATTATAATGTAGGCCTACAGTATGAAAACTTGATATTATTTACATTCTCAGGTTTTGATCCATTTTTGCTTTGAACATGTGTATCATTAATTGTTGTTTTTTATTTCTATTTAGCTTATTTTTATTCCAGTTTCAGTAATTATAGATCTTCATCTTAAATATACTGTATTAGTGGCCAAGTCTAATTATTCTAATATGCATTTAAGATTAATTTCAATTATCAAAATGTTTTAAATACGATTTATAGTTTTGTTCAACAATAACAACTCTGCTTTAAGTGAGTGTCAGTTGAAGGTGATCTATATGTGCAAATAGACGGGAATATATTGTGCATCCAGAGTAAAATTAAAATGTTTTCAACTTTTGGTCTTGACGTTTTTCCTCACACCATCCTCACTGAATAGAGCTTTACAATGAAAACAGTTTCATCAACATATATTATGTATCATGCACAGGTTAAAACTGGAAGTTTAGCAGGCTTCATTCTGATTATCCATATGGTCCAACTCAGTTGAAGGACTGTATTAATACTAAATATTTTACAAACACATGAAATAGTGAAATGAATAGTGCTGTAACTGTCATTCCATCGAAATCATGCAAATGTTTTCCCAGCTCAGTCCGTTAGCCCACATGACATTCATCTGGTTGAATTGGTTTAGCAGTCCAGTTCACTGCAATGCACCTGACCAAAGTACAAATAACCCTGCAATCTGCTCTCACAACCCTATTCTTATCAACCTGTAACTTGAAACCCAGCTTCATTTGCATTGAATACTTCCAGCTAACTGTAGGTCAAAGTGCTCCAATACACTTGCAAAATGAAAACACAGCTGTCAGGTGGAGGTCTAATGAATTAAACTAGTTGTAATCCTAGCAGATGTGTGGAGTTAACCGTGAAATCTCGCCTGACATGTAACTTAGTCCACCCTTGTCGACAGTTGATTCTGGCTAGAGTCGGTGTGAATGGAAAGAATTGGTGTTGGTTTCGTGTCTTTACTGCAGCTGGGAACAGGTTAGACTTGAGGTGTGACTTGAGCAGACTTCAAATACAACTACAACTACAACAACATACCTGTCCACGTTTCTAATGGCTCCTTACGACACTCATCACAAGCTCTCCGCACAGCCTAAAAGATCTCACTTGTGTGCCGTTGACTTACCTAATAAGACAGACAAAATCAATCGAATCGCCGGTTCGGGTGAACCGAAATATTCGGCTATTTTCTCCATGAAGGGAGCCGCCATCTTTAGTGTGGGCGGAAGTAGCTGCGGTTGAGTTTCCGTGAGTTTGTGGCGCTCGTGAGGTGTCGCGCGCTCCTTAACTCCGTTTTGCTACTCCCATGGTTACTCCTCCTCTCTCCACCTCTCACACCATTCACAGTGAACCTGCAATCTCGTCTTTCGCAAACGTCTTGCGCAATATGTGTGCCATTTCAGTTCATAGCCAAGCTTCCAATGACGCGAAACGAGGATGAGATTAGCTGTTCAGCCGTTAGAACAGCCCTTCAGAGTTTACTTATTCACAATACAGCACAGCCTCTCGTACCGTATTGCTTACAATAGAACTAATGACATACGCAGAAACTGGATTATTGTTCAATTTTAAAGTAAAAAAGAGGTCTTGAAAAAATAAAAAGTAACGCAGCTTCACAATACTGCCATCTAGTGTTTGTCAAACCAAACGGCATTGCTGCACTTATCCTGTTGCACATCATGCTCTCTGCATACTGTTTGTATTGTTTCCAGCTCCAAGTTTAGTCGCATTTGAAAATGTTTTAAACATTTTATTTACATCCTTCTTGCTCCTTCAAAAAGGGAATGCCTTAAACTATAAATTACTTGCAAAATACATTGATCCCCGCCCAATTTAACAATGATGTCTGTTTTTGGTTACACTTTAAGGTGTCCATCTTTTTTACAGTCTATGGTCCACCCTTGTTGCAGTTTAATTATATAAATCAGCGCTGACTTTGTATTTACTATATAAGGTTAGGGTAGGATTAGGGTTTAGATGAGGGTTAGTTGCAATGTAATTATGCACAATTTACTGGTATTGCTCTGGTAAGTGCATAAAATAAAGTGTTATCCTGTTTTTTTTAACCCTGAAGAGTTATTAAAGAGATAGAAAGTTTTTTTTCCATTTCCCACTATTACTCTAGGCATATTTTCTTTTTAGAGCACTAACTTCAAAAAAAAATATATGTATTATTATACATACATACATACATACATATGCAACTGTATAATAGATATTTAATATAGGATGCAAGTGTACAGTACGCACAAGTGTACAATAATTCACGTGGTTTGTTTTAAACAACAATGGCATGAAATAAACCAGAACCTGAAATCACTTTTAAGTTAACTTAAACTTGTTCTTTTGAGGATGGTGTTTGTGTGGGCTATGTTGTCATTTATGTATTGAATTTGTATCTGTTTATTGTCACACGTGACGCTACTAATAATGTCATTGTTGTGACGTGTATAGGGACTATAAATGAAAACGAGTAATTTCGAAATGAACAATTTCTAAACTGATGTTTATTAACATACGTTGTAATAAATATAAATACATATTTAATTTAATATAATAATTAAATGAACAAATAATAATTTCTAGTTAAATAGCCTATTTTGTGCTTGCAAAAGTCTTGACACCGTCTCCAATTTCAATATAACCTCATAGCGATTCAAACCACGTTTGATACCATTAGAGTTGTTTCATCGTAAGTTTGTAAATCTAAATTACTTTGTATTATTTCTATCTTTCAAACCGACCATGGTGGGCTTCCCTTTAAGGGAAACCTTCTGGACAAATACTAAAAGAGCAAATTTCCACGCTGCAATGTATGATGAACCTGTCTGGTAACTTTCGACAGCCATATCGATGACGGTGACCACATGACTGACGTACAATAATTTATAAAGATATCAGAAGACCAATTAAAACTGAAATGATTGTTTTATTAACAAACGTTCGTGTACTTCATGCAATATTTTTCTTTAAATAACTTAAAATAACATAAAACCGTCTTTGATATAGACGACATAAACGAAAAGCATTGTGGGAATGCAAATTTAATCCCTCCTCCAAATATACATTAAAGGGATAGTTCACCCGAAAATGAAAATGCTTTCATCATTAAGTTGTTTCAAAACACTTTTTTTGTTCTGCTGAACACTAAAGAAGAAATGTTGAAGAATGCCGGTAATCAAACAGTTGATAGACCCCGCTGATTTTTATAGTATTTCCCCCCATTGCCTACTATGGAGGACAATAGTGCCCCACAACTGGTCTTCCAAATATTTGTGTTCAACAGAGGAAAGAAATTCATACAGGTTTGGAACAACTCGAGGGTGAGTAAACAATGACAGAATTCATTATTGATTGAACAGTCTCTTTAGTGCCAGCCTACCTGGCCGACAGATCCATTTCTCCAATTTCAATTGGGTCTATCAAAACTAATATTGTGAAAATTGTGCAATTATTAAATATTTACAAATACATTAAGTGGTTACGCATGTGCAAACAAACAAAAAATATGGACATTAAATGTTAAATGAAACACTAAATTAATAGTATTAAAAAAATATTGACACATTTATGCTTCCTTATTTTTCAAACTTTAATATCGGTTTAGGTACAGTTGAGCTTTTGACTTTAACAAATAGAAAAGGGTTTATTTCTCCACATTTACATGAATGTATAATGTCTTCTGTTATATTCCTTATGATGATAAACATGCCATAAGTGAAAGAACTGGATGAAACATTTTCAAAGTACAGTTGGTTTGTGATTTGTAGTTAATGAACACAAAATAATAGTGAATGCACCTGTATCTCTCTCCTTTTATCAAAGAAACACATTCGCAGGCGTGTAGTCTTGAGCCAATGGTAAGCGCTGGGGGCGGGGCTTACAGACAGTGTTATATAAATCCCAGCGGACTGTATTTCCTCGCTGTCTCTTCGTCTGGAGGTCGTTCCGCTTGTGTCTTTCGTCATTTTTTCCCCTGGTGAAAGTAACACTTTTTGCAATCATGACTGGCAGGAAGTTTTTCGTCGGTGGCAACTGGAAAATGAACGGCGACAAAAAGAGCATTGAAGAGCTCGCCAACACTTTGAATAACGCTAAACTCAACCCAGACACCGGTGCGTATTTCATCCACTTTCCTCTTCACCAGCCACAATCAAATGCCATTGCAAACACAGGCCTTTTCGGGGTGTGCAACCCACCGCATTGACCCTGAAATGACATTCACGCGGGACTTTTGACAGCTACCATCGCCTTTAAGCGCATCATTTACAGACTCTTTCTCGTTGTAACGTTAGTTATATAATAGGATAACAGCTCTGTTTTCTACAGTGTAAAGAAATCTATTGCTTGTAACCATTTAATCCATTAGCAGCAACCAGACATAAACAAACCAGTTTCTGTTAAAATTCGATATAAAGAACTATTCGATTTATAAAAGAGGGGACTGCACGTCATGTTTCGATATGATGCTCATCTTGTGTAGTGATTCAAGGGTTAATGCTGGAAATGGGTGTGTGATTTCCAGCACGTAGCCTCCACCGTGCGCATTAAGGCCTTGTCAAATCAAATGACAGGATTATTAGGATGCTCGGTTTATCAACAAAACTGTACTATGCTATTTCTCTTAAAAATATGACCCAGGAAAAAGAACGATAGTTGCTATAGTAACGCGTTTTGAGTGATTTCTGATCGCGCGGTGTTTCCGCTGTTCACTGCATCACTGTCCGGCTTTATTTGAGAATCTTTCAGACAGACTTGTGTCAGTAATGACACAACTGTGGACTTTGAATTGGTAAAGTCCAAAAGTCACGCTGCTTGTGCGTCGCCTGTTTCATTCATGGTCTGAAACCCGAGAAGCGCTTAACGCGCAAAGGTCACGGGTCAGACTGTCATATCTTGGACTAGCTTTTGCCTTTTTCAATTTACTTCGTGGCCTGTGTAGTATGCAGTCATATGAGTAACTTTTCCTTTGACCTTTTATCAAGGAGGCTCGAGACGCCAGATATGTCTGCCCTTTACAGGGAGTTTAATTTAGGCTGACCCAAGCTAATTTTACAGTATAAGTGCCACCTCCAATGGGAATACAACCAAGCATAAAAAAATCACAAAAACACTGAATGCTTAGTTTTAGTTTTTTATTCTTATTCTTATTCTTATTTTATTTGTTGTTTATTCTGTTGTAAAGCACTTTGGTTCACCTATCGGTTGATGTAAGGTGCTAAATAAATAAAGTACATTTACATTCTTATATATATATATATAATGCAATGCATTTTATGACTGAGAGATGTACAAATAAATGTTCCTCAAAAGACTGTAGTTTCATAAATAATACATGAATTTTCTAAACAAAACAAAACAAATTATGTATGGAGTAAAGTAAACTTAAGTTGCTGCTGTCCAGTAAATGTTTATCTTGAACATAAATGTTATTATATTTATTACTTTATACAGTAATAAACATAACATTATCTTATAAACATAGTAAAATTTTTCACATTTTTACAGCAAAAAACACGTGTACCATGACCGAAAGGTGGACATTTTTACAATTATACTAAAGGCCTTTTACTTGCTAAAAAAAAGAATGAACTATTAAGAAATTCAAGTTGTCCTGTCAATAATGTGTATGGTTAAATGTTCAGGACACTAACATCGATTTAGTGACATGAAAGCAGTGCTTTGCCATGGTGGTCTTTCACATAAAAAAAGCACTGCAGTTACAATTCTGTTTTGTTTGTGTGTTTTTTTTTACCCATTTGTTTGTTTGACAGAGGTTGTGTGTGGTGCCCCAACCATCTACCTCGACTTTGCCAGGTCCAAGCTGAAACCTAACATTGATGTGGCAGCGCAGAACTGCTACAAGGTTGCAAAGGGAGCCTTCACCGGAGAGATCAGGTACATGTCAACCCGTTTACAGTCCAGTATCACTGAGAATAATTAATGAAAATGAGACTATATTGAATTCATTCACATTTTATGGCTGTTTTTTCTTCTTCTTCTATTTTTACTTCTATTTGTCGCTTGAAAGATCCATTGTATTGTTTCAGCCCAGCAATGATTAAGGATTGTGGAGTAAAATGGGTGATTCTGGGACACTCTGAGAGACGCCATGTGTTCGGAGAGAGTGATGAGGTAACTTAGTGCTTTTACACGTTATAGAAAACCCTATTTTATTATAGAGTAAATCAGTAAATCAGACTTTTTTCCAGGAGTAACTTTATTTGATGTGCACTTTGATCTTTAAAACTTTAAAGACCTTTTACATTCATTAACAAGTATGGCATGAAAGGTAATATTCGAAAAAGCATAATGGGGCACTTTAAACATGCAAAACATGTTTACACAACATCAGCCTCTTGCACCAAAAAAGCATGTTAACTACAGAACATAATAAATTAAAGTGACAGTAGGGTTGTTATTCTACTTAATTATACATTCTCAAGTTCACTATTATAATATTTCATTTCTTTTACCGGTTATGAAGGAGCTTTCTTTTATTAGAAACCTATTAGACAAATACTAAAAGAGCAAATTTCCAACTGCCATATTTGCTGTGAGAACTTCCATCAATTTGAGCAGGTACCTCACTGGTGGTGACTTGCATATGTTTTAGCAGTATTTGAACAATTGAAAGGCATTATGTGTATGCAAATTTAAACAGGTCATACAATCCTCTCACCCCCTAACACCTGCTCATACCATCTCTGGAGAAAACGTATACAGTAAGAAATGGAATAAAAGTAGCACTGAATTTGAGGCTGATTTAATTTAGTGTGAATTTTTCTGTTCAAGTATTAAGCAGAAAAATTACAACATTCTTGTGATCTAATTTTATTACTTTGGTGGTTAAACTCTCAACTATTATGGGTATGCAAATTTGCAAAACTAATTAAATATGCATAGCATTTTTATGAAAATAATGGAATTGAACAGAAAACCGATATTATTAATCATGTAGTACATTTAGTTTGTTATGAATATGATTATCATGGCGAACCACAAAAAATAAGAAAGCAAAGAATTGGTCTCACAAAAGATAATCGGCCACCATTTCACTTAAATCGTATTAACTTTCTGTTTTTTTCTTCTTCCGATAGTTGATTGGACAGAAGGTCGCTCATGCTCTTGAGAGCGGTTTGAGTGTGATCGCCTGCATTGGTGAGAAGCTGGATGAGAGGGAGGCCGGAATCACAGAGAAAGTGGTCTTTGCACAGACCAAGATCATTGCAGGTATCTTTTAATTTAGTGTTGTATGTATTATAAAACTTTTCTTGTATTTGAAATAAAACGATCATCTCTTTTAGACAATGTGAAGGATTGGAGCAAAGTGGTCCTTGCTTATGAGCCTGTTTGGGCCATTGGCACTGGCAAAACTGCATCACCCCAACAGGTACAGACGAGATGTTTAGAAAGGATTAGACCATGGAGGGTTTTTTTTTCAAACATGTTCCCTGGTTTCATTGAACTCAGTGACGAGTCTCTCGCTGTTGTTCTTACAGGCTCAGGAGGTACATGACAAGCTCAGGCAATGGATGAAGACTAATGTCTCAGAGACTGTTGCCAGCTCCGTCAGGATCATCTATGGAGGTCAGCGCTCTAAATATTGTTTTCCTTTTTCCATAGAAAAATATCCCATTAAAATTTAATTCATCCGAACCCTTTGAGTGAGTATCTCACCCATGGTATGATGAACCTAATGAATTTTTAAACACCCTACTATGCATACTAATGCATACTATGTCTAGACAAATTAACACTGTTTATCAAGTTTTAAAACCACTTTACTTCATAGTGTCAAACTTAGACTTTTAATGCAATTTTTATACAAGTTTTAAAGGGATTTTCTTCTATAGAAATTAGAAAACCTACTTGAGCAAATTCCTAGCTAATTGTTCGTCTTCTTCGTCGTTTTACGGCGGTTGGCATCCAACATTAATGGTGCATTACCGGCACCATTTATTTAATAAAATAATAATAATATTAATAAAGCATAACAACGAAAATAACCTTTTATTTTTCCTCTTTTTCTTTTTCCTTCTTAAAAAAAACCCAGTCTTGTTTCCTTTAAGAATCGAAATACCAATGTCCCCCTAACCTTTGTATGCCCTCTTTCATCTTTTCCTTTCCCTCTCATATTTCTGACACTCAAAAATCACATCCTCCACAGAATCAGTATTTTCACAAAATTCACACATACATGATAAAGTGCTTACCCACAATATGTAAATACTTATTTAACCCACAATGTCCTATTTTTAATCTCATGAAGATCATTTCTTCCCTTTGTTTTCTTTCATTGACGTTTTCTAAAGAGAAAACGCAAAAGTGGCGTTGCGTTATCACTTCTTATTCTGCATTTAGACGAGCGTTTTGGGTGGGAAATCCGCATACATATGATGATGCAAAAGTGTGTGAAATTCAATGTAGTATGCACTCCAGGCAGCTAGGAGTGCATACTACAACAACACCAAGTCCGCGCGCCTGCGTACAACCTTCACTGTCAAAAAAAAAAAAACGAGGAATGTGTAAAAATGTAAAAGACCTGGAGAATTCATGATGGACTGTGTTGTGCAAATGTAACCCATACACATACTCACATGGTCCTAGTGCTGTGTGTTACAGTTTGGGAAGGTTTATGGGTCATTATGGTTTATATTCACTTCAGTATGTTTATATAGAAACATCATGTTGGGATTTATTATTGTCATGCCACACAACTACATAAACACTACTGACAGATCTGAAGTGTATAGTAACAACAGTCAGTAGTTTAATCACAATTGTCACCATGTACATAAATAGTTGCATATTATATTGTCACAAACCACCTCAAATTTAAAGCAGACGTAGTTCTTAAAAGAAATTTTTCATTATTAATCAATATTGAAGTAAATGTTTATTTAACATTTATTTAATTATTTATTTACTGCGGGCGGATTCCTCACTTATGGTGACTGAAAAGATGTGGTTGTAATCGCAAGGTTGTGATCGAAATTCTGTTTAAAATGTTAGAATCATAATTCTGTTTAAAATGTGCATTTTGCATTAATACCTATTATTTCACATATGACTTATTAAAAAATAGAAAGCAGCACACACTGATGATGTATACAGTAAGTAGTAATGTGGTATTCAAATTAGTAACCATAATGCTACCCATTATGCCTTTCACTTTAAGTGGTTCAGATTTTACTAAGCGCTCCAAGAAGTTTCTTGATAATGACTGTTTGCTAAACCCTTTAAAAGAAACTTCTTTTAATATGAAGTAGCCACCTTTTAAGGAAACCTTCTGAAGAATTCATCTGATCATCCCATTAGCCATGTGTAAACAAAAATATAATCTAAGTTCCAATTGAGGAATTTAGATTAGTAACTTAATGTGAAATGCCTTTCAAAAATAATATTAAGTGGGTATTATTACCCGTTTTACTCTTAATAATTTAATAATTCAAGAAATCAAATATTTAGAGGGACTATATTTTGTAAATATCAGTAGTAATCACCTCTAATAATACATGACTTAATTATGTTCTTTACAATATTGTACTTCACAATATCTATCTTTTAACAAATGTATGGGGCTTTCTTTTATAGAAAGCCTTCTTGACAAATAATGAAAGAGCAAATTTCTATTTAATCTCAGTTAACTGAATCTCTCCCATCAATTTGAACGAGTATCTCACTCATGGTGACTGGCCTGTTGAACTTACCGGTAATCTTGTTTTCTACAAAGGCATTATTATGCAAATTTAAAGGGGTGGTATTGTCGTGTAGTTCCTACCAGCTGTTTGTTGTAGTCCTTAAACTATTTCTCTAAAAGCAAATATCTCCCTTTGCTTTGAACTTTGAGAATTGTAACTTTGCAGACGTTGTTTGCTCAAACAGCAACATTACACACTAACTAAAGTCAGAAACGTGAAATCATAATCACTGAGCCCTCAACTTACCAATCAAAATAATGTATGCTTTATATTTCTGGACAAGCATGAAACACCCTTTGATAACTCAAACATGATATTTTGAAGTATCTTTTCTTAACCAAAATGATGGGGCTTTCTTTTATAGAAAACCTTCTGGACAAATAGTAAAAGAGTGAATTTCCAGCTTATCATTGTTCACAGATTCTCACCCATCAATTTGAACGAGTATCTCACTCATGGTGACTGAATGAAACAAGATTAAGTTCAACTTGTGAAAGACATTATGCAAATTTAAACACACTCCAACAATGATACCTGCTGCTACTTAGTTTTTATGAAGGCACATCAGCAATGCACCACACATGGAGCTGTGATATACAATTTTCACTAAAAGATTGTGGAAGTTTGAGCTTGTGTTATATGGCACTTTTCCATTACCAGTACCAGTTCGGCTCAACTCGACACTCGTGCCGACAACTCGGCACGCTTTTCGCTCGGTTTTCCATTGCAGACAGTACCGCCACAAATAATACCCGGTCGTCATAGTGACGCCTTTCGTTCCTCATTGCCCTTTCAAGCTCTCGCTGGATCCTCTCTTCGGCCTCCAATCAAAGGAAAGTCTGCTCCTCCTCGGTTGACCTCGGCGTATTCTTCCGAGTTGCCATAATAATAGTAGTAAGTTTAGTAACTATCACTGGCCAAACTATTTAAAAATGGCGGGGTTATTCTGGATACTCCATCTGACGGGTGCAATGATGACGCAGTGAATGGTGACGATTCTCTCTGGTCAATCAGCTGTCGGCATTGTTTTCACGTCACATTTTAGTATCGCCTCAGCTCGCCCAGAACCTTGCCAGAGGTGATACAACTTTTTTTCCACTTTTACACTGTGGAAAACCAAACAAAGGCGAGCCGAGCTGGTATGGCGTACTGGAAAAGCACCAACAACAAAACCTCGTTTCAAAGGAAACCTACTGAATAAATACAAAAAAAGGACCATTTATTTAGTTACTGTGCAGTGATTTAGGCAACCATGATGACTAAATTTTCAAATTTAATTTTGCTAAATATTTATTTTCTTTTTACAAGTGTGAGAGATGTTTTTTTTAATAGAAAACCTGTTGAACAAATACTACAAGAGCAAATTTCCAGCATTGGAAACTTCACTGAATCTGTCCCATCAATTTGACAGAGTATCTCACTCATGGTGTGGTGACTCACACGTTGACCTTATTCTTTTTACTCATTCAAATTGACAGGCAGATTCAGTGAACAATGAAAAGCTATAAATTTGGTAATCTTTCTTTAAACTATTATGGTGGGGCTTCCTTTTAAAGGAAACCTACTGGACAATTACCAAAAGACCAAATTTCCCATTCAAATTTATTTCATCCCAGTATCTTGTTACCTGCTATTAATTAAAAATATATCGTTTCTGGACAAAAGTTTTTATGATGACATATCACCAACGAGGTAAAATAACACCACATATAGAGATATAATTTCACTATAAAATATCAACTTCAAACTTTCACAATCTTTAATTCAACAGCTCTAAAAGTTTTCTTTTTAAAGGAAACCTACTGGACTAATACTAAAAGAGTACACTTCTATCCAGTTATTTCTGTTAAACGTTCTTAAGATATCTTATTTATATCTTACTTATTTTTAACATGAAGAGGTTTTCTTTTATAGAAACAAAATTCTAGACAAAATTAGACACAAATTCTAAAGAGCAAATTTCTATTTGTTATTATTCACTGAATCTGTCTCATCAATTCGAATAAGTATTTTATTCATATACTTCATAATATCTATTTTTAACTGATTTATGGGGTTTTCTTTTATAGAAAACCTTCTGGACAAATACTGAAAGAGCAAATTTCTATCTATACATAGTTAACTGAATCTCTCCCATCAATTTGAACGAGCTTCTCACTCGTGGTGACTGGCCTTAGTTTTCTACAAAGGCATTATTATGCAAATTTAAAGGGGTGGTATTACGCCCTTTTCACAAGCTGTAAAATACGTATCTGATGTCCCCAGAGTGTGTATATGATTTAGCTCAAAATACCCCACAGATATTTTTATATAGAATGTTAAAATTGTCAAATGTGAGCAAAAACGCACCGTTTTATGTCTGTCCCTTTAAATGCAGATGAAAATTTCACAAACCTTTAGCCGTTTATGTTCAAACCGGAGTCAGATAAAGATGTTAAACTTTTAGAGTTGGTGATGTCAATAACCCAGGAGAAATGTCGTGGAGTTCCTACCAGCCGTTTGTTGTAGTCCTTAAACTATTTCTCTAAAAGCAAATATCTCCCTTTGCTTTGAATTTTGTGCATTGTAACTTTGAAGACGTTGTTTGCTCAAACAGCAACATTACACACTAACTAAAGTTAGAAACGTGAAAACATAAACACTGAGCCCTCAACTGACCATTCAAAATAAAAAAGCCTATGCTTATTATTTCTGGACAAGCATCTAACACCCCTTGTACAATTACAATAATATTTTACCCTGTAATATTTTGAAAATTCAAACATGATATTTTGAAGTATCTTTTATTTTAACCATAATAAAGGGGCTTTCTTTTATAGAAAACCTACTGGACAAATAGTAAAAGAGTGAATTTCTAGTAATCATCGATTCATAGATTCTCTCCCATCAATTTGAACGAGTATCTCACTCATGGTGACTGAAGCAAACAAGATTAAGTTGAAATTGTGCAAGGCATTATTATACGAATTATGTTACCATTACTTTTACTAGTATATCATCTTAAAGCTTCCTCTAAAGCTGATTACACATGTGAAATCAATTGTATTGAAAATCACGTCAAACAGGAAAGAAGCCGCGTTTCCACTGCCGGGCTAGGGCTGGGCCAGAGCTAACAGCGAGCCGGGCCGAGCTAGTGGCCTCGGGCCTCAAGCACCGGGCTTGCGTTTCCACTGCCGGGCCAGTAGCCCCACAGCGCTGCCCCAGACCCCACCACTAACACGCCTTTCTGGATCAAACGTCATAAAACCCAAACCATTTCAGCGGGTATTATGAATTAATTTATTTTGTAAATTAGGAAGATAGCATGTATATTAACTCACCTGCCGTAGTGGCTGCAATAGTGTCCCGAGACCAGTACAGGCGATTCTCCATTTCAAGCAGCGATTTTTTGCGCGATATAACAAGTAGGGCTGCGGGCACGTTTTCAAGTTATTCATTAATCGTTAACCGAGGCCCATCGGTTAATACTCGGTGCATAGTGTGCGCGCCGCAATACAGAGTAAATTTTTAACACCTTTAATAACTGATTGGACCTCATTTGAAACGAAATTAATTTATAGAAATAAAACGCAGCAAGTACGGAGCAGTTAAAGCCCCATTTCCATCACCCTTCAAACTGAAATTGCCAATTGAAAATAAGCAAAACGTCCATTTCACAAAAACTCTGTGTCTGCAAATAATAATAATAATAATAACCATCATCATCATTATTGTAACATTTTATTAGGCTGCATATGTAGAAGACGCCTTTATCCAAAAAAGGAACAGAGCACAAATAAACACAATATTTTTGACAAATATCAGCGCATATCCAGTGTGTGTGGAGCACGCACTGATGGCTGCGAGACGCCCATGTGAACAGTTTCATTGCATTTCTTTCAGTGGAAACAACTTAAAATACTCTTTAATTTCTGGTCATACAGAAAATAATAATACATTATTCGCAAATAAATGTATTTATAACAAGAAAACGTTGTGCTTTAACAATTAATCAAGGCGCGCTTCATGATCTCCGTGAACTGAAGCGCGAGACCTGAAACAGCCACCGCATTCGAATTTGTTCGTTTTAAATTGGACATTTAATCTACAAAGGATATAAAAGCTTTAAATGTCCAATTTAAAACGAACAAATTCGAATCGAAAGCCAATATCTTCTATGTTTATGTAGCTTAATTTCTCTCTAAATGTGCATCCGGAGATGGAGATATGTTTTTAGCCGAAAATCATTTAGAAAACAATAGTTTATTAATAAACAATTAATGCCTCGTTATTTTATATTATTTTATTATCAGACACATTTATTATAGCCTATAAATCACCCATAAATCCCCTTTCTGTAGGCTGTGGTTACAGCTCTTCTCGTTCAGCACTGCGGGGAAAATATCATTTCCAGGTTCTAATTTGGCCTCAGAAAACCAGTCAAATATATATATATTTTTTTATATTAATTTGTCAAATATTTTAAATGTTTAAGGGGCAAAAAAATCAAACAAATATCTGAAAATTCGTCGATATGTAGCCTATATATACTAGCCTATGTATTGTTGCGCAGCATTTGGCATAGGCCTACAGTTCAAATTAAAATGTTATGCAATTTTAAACGGTTAATCGTTAAACATGGACACCCCTATGTGCATCTTGCTTCAGATCATAACGTTCCATAAACACCGATAAACTCCGCTTTTACCTTGAGCACGCCTCTAGCCCGAGCTGGCCCCCTCTGGCCCAAGGTATTTGACGGGCCAGAAATCCTGGCCGTTGGCCCTGAGGAAGCCCCGATCAAGCCCCGGAAGTGACAGTGGAAACGCGACTGGCCCTGGCACGCACTAGCACGGCCCGGCCCTGGCCCGGCAGTGGAAACGCGGCTAATGAGTCAGTAGTGTATTACGAGAGACGTGAAACTAGCAGCGTTTTTTATACTTCGATGGGTGATGATAAATTTTAAGAAACTTCTGAACACTGAGCCCTCAACTGACCAATCATAATACAATATGCGTATTATTTCTGGACAAGTATGAAACTCTCTTCATTCTATTACAATAATATTTTGAAGTATGTTTTGTTTTTGTTTTTTGAACAAAATAAAAGGGTTTTCTTTTATAGAAAACCTACTGGACAAATAGTAAAAGAGTGAATTTCTAGTAATCAACGATTCATAGATTCTCTCCCATCAATTTGAACGAGTATCTCACTCATGGTGACTGAATGAAACAAGATTAAGTTCAACTTGTGAAAGACATTATGCAAATTTAAACACACTCCAACAATGTTACCTGTGCTACTACATAATTACATTCACTGTTTCTGGGCAAGTTTTTATGATGACATAAAACATTATGAGAACACAAATATGGTTCAGGCAACGCATAGCCTATTGATTATATTCACTGCATGTATGTACGGTAGCCTATATTTATAACAAAACTAAATGTAAACCTGCCTTTTTCGTTTAAATTTTAAAAATATTAAACATATTCCAGGCAATATGTAATGTATTGCATATCGCATTGGTACAAATGTTGCAATAAACAACATTAAAGATGATCTTGTAATAAAATAAAAAATGACAACTCAACCCTATCTCTTTTTGTTAAATTTTAGTTTTATCAATAATAAACATTATAAAAGTACAAATAAAAGATACAAAAAGCTCTACAGTTCTCTACACAAATTCAGCTGCCTTCTGCCAAAACCATTGGCCAGGGAACGAATTAGATTCACGAGACGAAAGATCGCCTGTTAGCTCTATAAAGACGAATTATATCTCATGTTTAACCACTACAGAGACGGAATGACTCGCCAAGGAAAGGCTGTTCCAGGCGGGGTACATGAGCGCCGAGCGTCCGGTGAGCGATTGCCTATGGCGATTGCTTGGAATGGATCTCAGTCAAATTATCATCAATCTATAAATAAACTACATATTTGAGCTTTAAGGAGCTACATTCTCCCCTGAAAAACTCTTAAAACTACATTTCGCGACACAACAGTAGTATTATATTTCAACTGTAAAAAAAGAAAAATTCAATTAATAAATGATGCACTTGTAGCACGCGCAAGTGACGATACTCTGTCAACCAATCAAAACATCAATCTTTTCTCAAACACTAAAAGAGCAAAATTCACTGAGTCAACATCATGATCAACATCCATCACTTTGGCTGGGTACCTCACTAGTATGGAAGCTTATGTGTAGCATTATTCAATTTGAAATGTAATGCTACACATAAGCTTCCTACACTAGTGAACGAATCAATCAAATTTACGTGTGAACGGTTTATTTATTTATTTTACAATTATGGTTATGCAAATTACATCTAATTTGGGTAGTCGTGCATTCATAATACATCACTAGTATGTACACACATATTGTTTCTTTAAGGTACTAATATTTAGCCTTTAGGGGTAAATAAGGTAAGGTGTAACTTTTAAAAGGGTACAGGCCCAGTGACAGCTTTTCTTTTTTTTTTTTCTGAAAGCATTCCAACATGATACCAGTGTTATTTATTTCTATATACTGATGAAGCTGTGCTTATATTAGGGCTCTAGTTAATGACTTGCTTTACTTTTTGGAAGATTTAGAGATGTCTTCAAAGCAACAACAGATCCAAATATCTTCAGCAAATAAATATATTTTATGTGTGCTGCTCTTTATATATGAAAAGAAGTCCTGGTGAAAATGTAACATTTTTTTTTATGGTCCACTGTTTCAGGGTCTGTCACTGGAGGGAGCTGCAAGGAGCTCGCTTCCCAGAAAGACGTGGATGGCTTCTTGGTGGGCGGCGCTTCCTTGAAACCAGAGTTTATCGAGATTATTAATGCGAAAGCATAAAGAGCTGAAACCATCGCTCTAATTAGGTCTGCTCCCAAATCCTGCTCTTCTTTAGAAAGTGTTATTGTTGCAATTGTTTCAGTTGTTTTTGTATTGTTGTTATAAATGGACGGCTTGAGTTTTATTCCACTGAAACGTGTGCTACTAAGCCTCCTTTGTGTAGTGAAGTATAGGACTGTAATGAGAACCATCATGGGGCTTTAGGGCCCACGCCTTTACTTGAATAATGCTTACCAACATTCTTTACACAGTGTCAAAAATCTAGGATGAAATCAATCAACCTCTGTGTCTTTTTAATTGAAGTGAAACTACTTTCCATTAATGTGATTGTCCTGATATTTTCCTGTCCCTCAAAGAGTCTGTCTCTAACTGGCCTGTTGCAAAGTTGCTCATATGTAACCATGGTTATTTGATATAGAGGACAAGACGAAAATATTATAATAAATGCTTCAAAAGTGTACAACTATTTACTGTTGCCTCAAGTTATTTTACTGGAACATTCTGCATAATTTACTTTTTGTAGTGGAAATGTTCCACAAGAATGCAGAAGTACTTACTGCCACTTTTGATCAATTGAATGTATACTTGATATTTCAAGTATTTAGTAATACAGTTTTTAAACATTACATTGTAAAAAAAAAAACAAAAAAAAAACACTTTAATATTGTACCACCATTGTAAAAATCACGCTATCATACAGCAAACTTCAAGTGAAATAAAACAAAATAAAAAGCAGGAAGGAGAACACTATACATGGGAACCTCTGTAACATCATATTTAGAAGACAATTCTAGTTTCCACAATACTGAATCACAATCTGTACACCAGATTCTTTATATTTCTTTATTTTTTCTCACAAGATTATGTACATAATGTACAGATCAGTATCTACAAATGGCAGTATTTTCTTTCAGGGCAGACACATTAGGGCATTGAGAGGTGGAGCTGTAAAAGAAGAAACAGACAAGCAGTTTTGTCGAAATACTTACTGCCAAGCACTGACCAAATATAAACCAATCGCAACATAGCATTATAATACACAATACAGAGGAAAGAGGAGGAAGACAGAAGAACATGCAGAAAGAATATCAATGACAGAAAAAAATAAAGATGAGACGAGGCAAAAGGTCAATGGATTAAGTTGAAAATGTAAGAACACTTACAGAGGCAAATCGAAGTACAACAAACGTTATGAACTAAAAAAAAAAAAGATCTGATGCAGAGGAAAGAAGTTAAAGAAAGTGGATGTTTTAAGAAGAGGACAGGCAACATCTGAAGAGAGGGATGACACCGTTAGTAATACTGCTGTGAAAATATTACACAACTACAACAGCAAGGGCTAAAAACACATTTCACGAGGAAAACAAAAAAGGTGGTATCAATTGAGATTAACATTGCTTTGGAAAATCTGTAAATACTATTCATTATGGGCAGACAATAACCATTATCATTAGAAACTGCAGTGAACTTTAAAGACCTGAGGACATTAACTAAGGGTTTCTATAACCTGTTGGTTAGATATATAAAGTTTACATAAGGGTATAAAATGTCTATCTATCTGTATGTCCAGGCATGTGCAGTATGCAATTCTACAGTTTATATTAAACATCAGAAACATGTTCAGCCCACAACCAAAACACAAAATGTCAGTAAAGAACCATAAAAAAAAAATAAAAAAAAATTGCAAAAGAAAAATTGCAAAAGAAAAATATAAAAAATTAAATCAGTAAACACTAAAAAAATATAGTTAGGAAATGAAAAAAAAAAAAAGAAAGAAGAAAAAGCAATGTTAAGAATAGACAAAAGACACACCTGAACATACAGCAGCAATTCTACCAAACACTATGATGAGCCAATCCTGAAATACAATCCATACATCATCTTTAGACTGACAAGGTGTTTTGTCATTTTGTAGAAATTTGTATATTGGCATAAAAAAGAAAGAAAAACATTGCAAATTGAAAGCAAGCTCTCGTTAGAATGACAAATGCATTAATTGGCTGATGTCAGGGCGTCTCAACGGCCATTTTCCAGTGTGCCTCTGGATTAGTTTTGCCCTCATCTTTTCATCTTTTGCTTTGCTCCGATTGTGCATGACTGCAAGAAGAGAAAGAATTTGGTAATAAAGGAGTGCAGGAGGAGAGAGGAGAACAAGGG